CCTCCAGTTGACCTACACTGTTGTCACATTCCTCTTCCTCTGCTTCTCTTTCTTCTCGTGATTCTACCGCAACATAATTTCACCTTCCAGATAAACGGGCTTCCCTGACCAAGGCTGCCCTGTCACCTCCACACACACAAAAAAAAAATCAATTTGTATTCTTCTCCTTCTCCCATTCTATCTCTCTCTCCCTCTTAACCCATCCCCCTCACTTCTGTGGACTCTTAAAAGAAAATATTGAGATAACAGCTGCCACGGCCCGAGGGAGAGCAAGAGGAGGGAGAAAAGAGGTCAAACAGTAAAAGAAAGCAGGAATCTAAGGTGCAGCAGAAAGAGACAAAACAGGAGCACACGCTTACAGACACAAACACACACATATAAATATATACACACACACAAGGCGAGAAGAAACCCCATACACTCACGTCGGTCCTGACTCACTCCAAACCAAATGCAACGATTTCAGCAAGACACTTCATGCACCAACTTTGCAGCCCACTGTGTGCTTGAGCTTCTGTGTGTGCTTTTGTCAAATGCGTGACACAGAAATTACAGTGAGGAGGTGTTATTCTCCAAACAGCGGAGATGCACGGGGAGTAAACGAGGGAAATAAAGAGGAGAGGAGCAGGACAGCAAAGAATCGGCAGGGACAACTGCTCTGTGGACACCTGTCCTCTTCACTCACGGGCCTGAAGGATGTACAGAGACAGCTGCAGGGGCAATAAAGAGGAATGACTTTTCTGCTTATCTCTCCCTCCCCCGTCCCTTCTCTGTTTCCACTCTTTTGCTCCCAGTAATGTCTGAAGAGTTTAGTGCTGCAGCGGCACAGTACAGCGCTTCATGCGGCAGCACAAACTCACATGCTGTACTCTACATTCACATAGATTCTTCAGAGCATACATAATACATGGCTGAGCACAGTTTCTGGCAGTAACAGCTCTTGATGTTCAGCTTGCGTGCGCTCCTCGCTGGAGGCAGCAGAACAGATGCCACAACAACGCCGTGCAATTATACATCGCCAATTGTGCATTTCACCATAACACATCATAAGTGTAGAGAGACTATCTCCAGCCTGCGATCTCTTACTGTCATCTGACGCTGACAACTGAGGCTCCCAGTTCCACGCACCCCGTAGCAACTGGCTGCCAAGTCCTGACAAGAGTCTAAAATGCCCCGACTGGACCACTGGGGTACAGGGGTCAAGTATGGTCCTCGTCTGAAAGTGATTAATTAACATCTCATCCTCGGTGACTGTGGAGGCTGCCCATTCATGAAGAGGGGGCCGTGACGAGCAGCTACGGCGGCACACAAACACACACACACAGAGAGGGAGAGAGAGAGAGAGTGATACGGGAAGATATCAGGATACACACTCACCGACAACACGGAAGGATAGTACAGTCCCATCATCGTATTCTGAGCAACAACTCCAACTGCCGTCGCTCCTCTCTCCTTTCCTCTTATCACGCTGCCTGCCTTTCTCTCCCTCTCCCCGAGTCTGTGTCACTCCACCAGCTCAGTCTCTCTTGTCTGTCTCACAGATTCAAAATCTCCCTCTCTCTGCCCCCGCTCGCTCTGTCTATCCTGCCAGCTCCCCGCCCCCCTCCCCACCTCCTCTGCTGGCCTCTGTCCCTGTCACTCTCCCCTGCTCGCTCGCTCGCTCGCTTACTTCTTTTCTTTCTTTCTTTCTTTCCTTTGCTGCTGTCCTCCTCCTCCTCCTCCTTGTCTTTCCTTCTCTCTCTCTCCCCTTTTCTGTCCGTTCTCTTCTCCCACTCGCTCTCTCTCCTTTTTTGCTCTCCCACCAGATCTTTGCTTTTTTCTTCCTCTACCACCAGCCTCCTGTTTTGCTGCTGTGCCCTTGCCTGCTCATCTCTTCTGCCTCGTCTCCAGTCTTCCTCCTCTCTCAGCCAGAAAGCCCGACACCTCCCTCCTCCCACTTCTCCCTGTCACACCTGCAAACTTTCCCCTCCCTCCTGCTTCTTTCTCATGACGCAGTTCCCCCTTCTCTCTCTCTCTATCGCGCTTGCTCATTCTCTCTCTCTCTCTCTCTCCTTCTGTTCTCTTTCTCCATGTAGGTGAGTTAACTGGGGCTGCTGGTACCACTGGGAGAGAAGGGAGACTTAGCTCCTCTATATCTGGTCCCTTTTTCAGGCATGAAGACTGTTACGTAAATGTGCTGACAATTCCACATTTATGGCTCAAGTTTAAACAAGAACCCAAGGAACAGTCATAACAGCCAGTGACCTGCTAAAATCACTACCAACGCAGCTTGAATCCGAGCGCTGCCAACATGAAGTTGAGATCCTGAAGTTGCACTAATTAATGTGTCTCCAGCGTGGTTACATTAACCATGTGTGATGTATATCTGGGGCTAAAAACTAAAACATTAAAAATGTTTATGTATTATGTAAAATTAGACCGACTCTTTGGCTAGTCATTCTAGCCAGTTTGTCAGTTCAAAAATCCCTTTAATTAATGTTTAGAATCTGTTAATGGCAGAATACCAAATCTGAGCAAATTCTTTTATTACTGTTTGTTTTTTTAACATAAACCATAAAACCTTAACCAAACAAATCCTTCACCCAGCACCAAACCATTTTTACAACAACAACCAGGTTAGTTCAGCAGCTTAAAGAAACATTTTCATTAGATTTTCAAATGTCTACTGAAGTAAGCTTCCTGAACCAATCAAATATGTGGATCTCTTCAAACCTATAGTCACCTTAAAGAGGACAGAATAGTCCTCCGCCATGGTAACAATAACGTCACAGACCAGTCTTTCTGCCTTCAGTGCAGCTAACACTGTGGCCACAGAGGAGAAAACAAGCACTGCTGTGACATCTGTACTTTTGGGTCCGGAAAAGAAGAAGATGTAAGAAGCACAAAACGTATGGCACACATTGACCTGAGAGGGTCTACATTAACAATTCTAAGTGCTTCATATTTATGAATAATGTATAACATGCCACTGTAAATGAAGCAAACGCAAGTTTCTGTGTCAGATTAATCGAGAAAATGTCTCTGCTGATGTATTATTTTTGTTCATTTTTATTCATACTGGCTGCATTATGAAAAGAGCCAGCCAAATGCTGGAGGTACAATGTTAGAGTAAACAGCAACAAAATAACAGCTGCAGCCTATCCTTTATTTTAATTATGCTTGCAGGCGGATGGAGACTATGAAATATTCAGCATACACAGAATATTTTATAAGAACGGCAAACAGGTTCAAAAATGAAGCCTGTAATTTAAAATAGTATTTCATTTGGCAGTTTGCTGACGTTCCTCAGCAGCATCCACGCTCTTACCCTGTACATCCTGTCATGTGTGTGTTTGTGTGTGTGTTTGCACCGACCATGTCCTGAAAACAAATTTGTTTTCCGTACAGTGTGTGTGATGTTTTTAAAGTCGTAGCTTCAGCCTTCCATTTGTCACTGTTGTATGTTCTTCACATGGTCAAGAACCACTTGAACACGATACTGCTGTACAAACACACTAATCAATTCCTCTTAACAAAAAACACACACACATATAAAGTGCTGCAGATACACATATTCAAAGTCAAGAAATTCCAGGAGAACCACATTGTTCCACAATGACTTTTTGTCTGTCAAACCTGGAACACGTATTTAAGTATGGACGGCAAAGACACTGAGATTTTTGGAAAACATCGCCCCCTAAAGGGCTGCTGGGTTTATTGCACACATTTGGTGGAGGACAGCGTCATCCTGCTGTGAAATGCTGCAGCAGTGTGTCAGGCCACGTTAACCGAAAAATACTTTGTAACAAAAACAGCACAACAAATCAGGATAATTGCTGGTTTTGCATGTTGTGTTCAACACCGAGATAAATCAGCCAGAAATAAATGCAGTTAACTGCCTCTCACTTTCTGACGGTCTCTCCTTTTCCCTCACACACACCTGGACACACTCCCACAAACACTAATCCATCGTCAGTTTTTAACGTCTCTGTTTATTAGGGTCAAAGAAATGCTGTGTAAGAGCGGAGAACAGTTGATCCTGGTTGGAGTCCTGGGCTCCTGCTCTTCACCAGGCTTTTTCTTTCAGGAGACTTTCATTTCATCATATTCACGCTGTTGTTGACAGCGTATCACCTTGGTGTTGTGGGAACCATTACAGCCTAACATTACTTTCTTCCTCTATTAATTTTTGCGCCCTAGTCAGAAGCGAGTTTGCACTTCCCAGGTCCTGAAACGGTCTTTGACTGACGACTTCCCAGCACAACAGCGTTGAGGTGATTCTTTGAACAGTGTAATTAAGGAGAGAAACTGTATCGTCTTGAAAACTGGCTAATTGGCCTCTCAGCACCGCAGACGAGCGAAGAACACACTCATACTCAAGGAAACAGACTTCAAGTGAAGCCTTTAGTCTGATAAAGTGCAGATAAGAGGGGTGAGATAAGAAGATAGGCATTACTGAGAGTGAGAGAGAGAGGGAGGGAGGGAGAGAGGGAGATGGATGAGGGGATTATGGGCAGAGCATGAGAGGATGAGTGGATGAACAGGGGATGATTTAGGGATTAACCACATAAACTGAACAGTCTAATAACACAATCAGTAGGCTAATACAAACAATAGTAAACAGATGGCAGGCTCCCAGTGAGACAAACAAAGACACTTGCTTTTCTTTTTTTTTCAGCAAAAAAAAAAAAAGAGCAAAATTGTCGACATAAAGGTGCAAAAACACAAAAATATAAGCTTTCCGACATGATTAACAATGCTTCTGGGAGATTTGTAGAAAAAGAAAAAAAACACAGAGGGAGGGATTGACTAGAACAGTTAAGGGTGTGGAGGCTTACGTTCCTCTATACAACTGACATATTATAATCTACACCCCCACCTTGTGGTTTAAAGAGCTTCACCGAGCAACGGAGCTAAAGCCTCGTAACAATGCTTTTTCCAACAAACAGCGAAAGACTGCATGGTAGGGTGTTTTAAAGGACGGGGTACGCGCTTGATAAAAATGTAAATTGTGTACTTACTTGACTATGAGAAGGGTAGCCATGGTAACCAAGGGTCAGGGGGTCGTTATTCTGAAAGAGAAGAAAAACGTTTATAATTTCATAACTCCGCTCAGTGCGCTCTGCTGTGAATATTTGATTTTACAGTACTGCAACGGCACAGATTAACAATCAAATTAACTCCGGTGACACACTCCCACTATCTGCTGTAGCATTTTCCACCCAGTGGGTCTTTTGTCTGTTGTAAACGCTGATAAAGAAGAGGAGTGAGATCATGTGAGCGGGAGATGAAAGATAGGCAGTGAAGGGGAAGAAACGGAGAGGTGTCTCACCCCGGACTCTTAAATCATAAATAGGTCACGGGTGTCAGTGGGAATGAAGCCTGTTTGTGTGAAAATGCTTTCCAGAACTCTAATGGAACCTGAAACACTTTCCGTTTCATGTTCTAGCACTGTGAGCAGATCAAACACCCGGTGAGTGATTATTGTTGAACAAGAAGTAGAAAAAGACACTCGTTTTGTTTGGAGCCCAATGCTGAATATAAATCACATCCACAGCGCCTGAAATAGTTTTGCAACTCGTGTTATTTATACTCATTAAACTCTGTTCTGGCTTTTATGATAATGTATTCCATTAAAAAGCAGCTTTTCGCAGCAATTACAGCCAGCTTTGAAGGCAAATACAGATTTGCTTGTTGCTGGCTTCATGTCAATAGATGAGGAAACAACTCGGCTCCTCCCTCCTTTCTCCGTCCTTCCCCTGATCATCCTTTCATCTGGAACCAATGTCCCACGTCTGCTGGGTCCCGGGGGGGGGGACACTTAGCTCTGCACGCCTCACAGCTTGAGTTTGCCTCAGTAATACTGTAGCCATCTGACTGCGGACCCCAGCGGACCACTTTACTAAAACAAAGAAGAGTGTTTTTGAAGAAAAGAAAAGAAAGGATGAAGTCATAGAGAACGGAGATGTCCTCTTTGTAAAAAAAAAAAGAAAAAAAAAGTGCACTTAGTGAAGTGGACTTTAGGGGCAGCAGATAAATCAGATCTTTACGTCTCGGATAATATGATAAAGAGTTATAACTCTTACGTAACAAGCCACCAGGAGGAGGTAAACTGTAAAGGAACAAAAAACAGTCGCCGTGTCAAAGGGAAGGTGGAGGTGTTAAAGCACACACACACACGCACACACACACATGCACCGACATCTGGATCTGATTCATTTGGGCAGCTGTGCGTGGAACCACTGCAGCCAACACAATGGGAAATGGATAGCAAAGTACAGCAAGAAAAAAAACGAGATGGAGGGAGCAAAGACAATGACTCATACATGAGTGGAGTCATGTGCTCAATTTCCTGAAGGAAGTGGGAGGGGGCGCTGCTCGGGATGAGTATGCATCAGTCTCACTCTGCTCATAACACATGCACAGAAAATGATAATAAAACAAATGTTCATGAAGCTAGCGCCGCAATTATTGTCCTTTCTTGCCCCCCGACACCCTCCCCCCCGCTCCCCCACACACATGTGGTAACCAAAATTGCTGGTACCCGTCGAGGTGCTAACAGAGGTGTTTGCGGGGGAGGTGTAGTGACTAAAACAACAGACTACTCTTTTGGGGGAGACCGGCTGAGCAATCAGGAGAAAAAGTAACATGTGGGCTTGAAGTAAACAGATGGTGTGGAGGGAAGGAAGGACAGACATCGGAGCTCAGAAGGGTTAGAAATCCCAGAATGAGCATCGTGGGCCCCTTTTAACTTTCTCCTTCACAAGGCCAATATAATCCTGTCAGCCCTGTTATGCCTGGTTTAGTATGCTGCAGCCCATTCACCCTCAGAGGGGTTTCAGCCTTATGTAAGTCTGGAATAACTTCATTATTAATATTATTATTATTATTTTGGTCATCCCACAAGCATCGGATGATAATAAAACTGATGAAGTACACTGGGACTGGAGGCAGCAAGCAGGACACAGAGATAATCACATGGTTCTGCATTTTTGGAGAGGAGACTTTGGAGAGTAACATGAGCCAAGAAGTTAAGATAGGAAGTAAAAATATAGCTGTGGCAAAAACTCACACCATCAGAAAAGATTTTTTTAATTTGACACCATTTCAAAACAGCGAATTAAATGTGTTGAGCGTGCGAAGCCGAGAGCTGCCCAAAAGGTCACAATGTTTAAAATATAGCGGACTTATTTTCCCCTCCGTGCAAGTCCAACCACAGAGGAGGAAACTCGTGTTCGTATTAATGGGGGCTGTTGTCATCCCACCCAAAGAACTTTGACGGATGGGCTGCCTCCAATCCCGCCCCAGCAGAAGGTGGGTTTAAAAATACAATTCTAAATTTGTAGATTCTCTATTGAAACTCTGAGTTTTTACTTGCACTTTTGCATAAAGCAGCCACGGGAAAAGTCGAAGCGTGTCTGACAACTCAATAATATTTTTTTTTTCTCTTTGACTTCTACATTTTACACCTAACCTTTTGGTCAGGGCTCAGTCACACCTAATGTGGTGCTAATATTTTGTGACCAAACTAAATGCCATTTCACAGCTGCAGTTATAAAGAAGGNNTGGAAGTGAGTCATTGGGAGAGTTGGAACATTTAAAAACATGGCGTAACAAAAAATTTAAATCACAATGACGCTTTGCAGCATCTATCAATCAGGATGAACATTTCACTTTCCTGACGACACTACTGTACTTTGCAGCATCTATCAATCAGGATCATTTCACTTTCCTGACGACACTACTGTCAGTAATTGAGGTTTTGCCTGTGGTTTTGTCGTTCTACTGACCACTAACATCAACACCAACTCTAACATTCATCAATCCAAATTTAATTATTGAAGCGCAACTACAGCAGATGTTGCAGCATTAATGGGTCACCGTAGTCGTGTTTATCCACAGACAAGTTTCGTGGCACAACATACTGCTTTTTGTTGAATACAGATGCATAATAAAAGTCTTCCTGCTTAAAGGGCACATGTTGTCAACAAGGGTCTGCGCTGCTGTACCTCGCACAAGTGTAAACAAGCGTAATAGTTATCAAACGACTACAGCAGGTAGGAGTGTGCTAGGTGGTTGTTATTTATTTGAAAAAAAAGTGGTTGCTGGTTCTGCATCTCCGCTGAGGATGGCGAGAGGAACAGTTCGACTTCCTTGTTCAAAAAGTCATCCCACTATTGTAGGTGGCTCAGGACACTCCATAAACTCAGGAGGATGTGAATCGGTTTCAGCCCACAGAGCACTTATGTGCTAAGCCTGCGGCTGAAAGATGTGAAGAGTATTTTCCCTCACATCACTTCAACTTTCCTCAGTAAACATACACGTGTGTTTTCAGGGACAAGACGACTGCAGTAAAAGTGGTTTTTAGAGGTTGTTTTGATAGTTCTGGCTTCAAACGTCGTCCACCACTCAGCAGCATCTGCTAGCAATTTGTATTATACCAAACTGGCTCCTCTGTCAGTGTCCATGACACCCAGCTTCAGATCAAATCTGAATGAATACAAAAACAAGTCTGCTTGAAAAATACTGTTTTCATGAAAGAAAGAAAAAACAACTCATTGCTAAAGTCACTCAAAATGATCAACTAAAACTGGTTAAACACCAATGAATGATGCACTTCCCAGGTCAATAGAGGGGGTACTTCATTTTATGACCTCCTCAACCTACAACGTTTCGTGGTTACAGACGCCAGCTCCAATAAATTTATTGAAAAACGTCTCGTACCGCGTTAAAACCTGCCAAATAGTTTGGGAACAAACAGGAACAAGTTAGGAATACATCATCATATATATATATATATATGCGGGAGGGAGGAGGGAATCATATATATATATGCGGGAGGGAGGAGGGGCAAATGAAGAAGGGAAGAAGAAAAACACTGATAGCTCACTTTAGTACTACGACACCAGCTAAAGATGAATAACAAATGTGTCGCAATGCACGGAAGGCTAAGATAAAGTCCAGACGATATGGAGACTCGTGAACACAAGCAGGACAGAAAGAATGCAGAGTCAGCTCCTCTTCCCTGACCTGCTACAGCTTCATGATAAACAGTGGAATTTTTTTTTCCTTTAAAGCGTTTTCAATACATTGATTTCTTTACTGCAGCCACAGAAGCAAAACTATTGATTTTTTCTTTTTTTGCTGAATAAGAAGGTACAAGGTTCAAAGGCCTGTTCAACTGGCTTAGAGACAAACTCTGTGATTTTCTTGAATACAGAAAATACTGAAGATGTTTTATTCAAAAGTACGTTTCTTTTTGTGATCATGTTAAACACAATACAATCTAAACTCTGCGTGCGTTTCTCTGTGGGTTGATTAAATATAATTCAACAGTCAACAGACCTCCTTCAGTCATTAATCAAAGGAAAACTGGGAACAAAACTGAATACATTTTCTGAACTCACAGCAAGAGTGCATTTTTCTTTTCTTGACGTTTTCATTCAATTTCAGTGCTGGGACCAGATGAGAGTACTGTGGGCTGATCCAACTACACTGATGTCCAAGTCATGTTATTTGTCCTCCGTGCTGTCACCACAGGCAAAGCCTTATTAGGTTAGAGAGTCCACACTCCTGTGCACAGTAATGACAAAACATGGGACACTCAACAGCACACCGGACGGATATTAAAGCTGACAACCTTCTCTTAACATTTCCCAAAATCCTGCCGAGGCTGGAGACGAGGGCTGGCGCTGCGACTCTGCTGTTTTCCTTTAAAGATTCTCCTCTCATTGTTTTAGCAATTTTCTCCACAGTGTGAGCAAAACCAATTGCTAGAGACCATTGTACGTCTGAACTACTCTGGAATTCACCCAGCTATTTTTTTCCACATGCTTCATTTGCATGCGTTAGCCTGTGTAAGCATTCAGGCCGAGAGTAATTTATGCTGTATTGAGTCATATGTCCATTATTGGTGCTGGTTTATGTTTGCATTTCTGTCTCAACATAACAGTTCTACTCCCACACGCTGTGATGACTTCACACCCTACTAACTAATGGAGGAACAGCAAGGTCAATGGACATAAGGGAGAGATCCCATGATTATGCTGCAGCTGTTTAAAAGAATTGCTCTTTAGCCCCAACACACCCCAATGTGTTGCTTGGATCAAGAGACCAATATCAAAGATGGAGAAGGAAGAGGTGCTTTTTTTTAACATCTAATCTAGTAAACAAGAAGAACTGCAGCAAAACTGAATATCACAGAAATATAAGCGAGATTAGAGTGGAATTATTACAAAATGTCATTGATTTTAAAATCCAAACCAATGAGTGTTATTTTTACAATATTCACTGAGAGGTCCGATAAATAGGAATATAAAACTGGTGAAGTTTACTCAGTGCGCCTTACCTCTAGGAAAAGAGACAATAGCGTCATTAAACATTGAAAAGTGTTTTTGTTTACCTGCCGCGGGCTAATGCATAAATGTTAGCCTATCAGCCTGCATAAAGATGACCCGCTTCACATGAAAACAAAAGCTTGAGGAAAATTACTGGACATTCCATTTCCATCAATAAAGCAGAATTTGAAATATCTCCACCAAAGTCTTGCACAGCCCTTGACTTTAAAAAATGAATTCAGAGATCAATGTGGTTATTATGACCCTCCAGTATGAGATGTGATCCCATTAGCTGGAAAGAAAGCCTCTTTACTGCCAGTGATAGGGCAAGAGGGGGGGTTACTTCTCCCCACACTCATTTCCGGGCTGTTCACCCAGCTAATGTTCAATACATTTTAGGTGCTGAAGCTATTGATCTGCTCCTCTCTCTCTCTCCAACACAAATAAATGCTTTTCAACTCAGGTCTGGTTTTAAGTGCATCATGTCCCTAAACCTGCCTGTCAGCACAGACAGACAGCACGATGATATAAAGGCATTCATTTAGTTGTTTTTTTTTTCCAACGGGAGCAAACAGGCCACTTCACATCCATTACAACTGCTTTCATGGCAGAGGGAAAGCTTTCTATCTGTTAAAAGGTGTACTTATCCGTCCATAATATACTGTAATGATGTTCAGAGCATCCTCCTGTCCTCCTCTGATGCCGTAATAGGAAATATTTGACATTCCTAAATCAAAGAGAGAAGCAGGAAGGAGCAGAGTAATGTCACCAGCATTTGAAAGAAAGTGATTAAAGGAGGTTAAACCCATTTAGATTATTTCGAAGAACGGTTGTGGTACTGCTGATAAAAGCAGTGGTCTGGGATTTAAAGTAATTACATTAATTAGGCTTTAATAAATGCCGCGCGTCCACGCCCCCCCCCCAGAGCTGAGAGATCCTCGATGGAAACACTGACCTCACTGACTTTCCATTCCAAATCAAACATTGTCAACACCATTAGGCCACATAGTGGGATGATTTTGCATATTAAAGGTCAAGTTTGTTTACATTGCCTACCCGCTGCTGGAACTCTACTCAGACTTCAATAATATTATTCATATAACAGACGCTGCCATTTGAGGAGGTTTGAAGCAGTTGAATCATCAACCTGCAATTTAACAATACCAGGGATCTGCTGCATACAAGAAAATTATACTGTTGCAAAGGTTAAACGTCTGAGGGCCAATTCGGCAGTTACAGTATGACAGCCCAATGCACCAGTGACAAGATTTCATTGTGGATTACTGGAATGTTCCGAGACAAGGCACACTGTCCAAAAGATTAGGCATCAGGCTGAGGACGAAAGTCCACAGCTATTATTAAGACAGGACATGGCATCATTGGCTGATGTTGGTGTCAAAGTGCTACAACTGATTTACTTCATCGAATCAGTGTCACAATTCATAGATGAGATTTTTTTTTCCATTACTACATGGACATTAAAAAGGTTGAACTCACTAACTCATCCAGTGTCCTCAGATGTCAACGTGAAGCAGCACTTCATGGCACAAAAGACACACAACAAACAACAAATTCGTGGGTTCTACCTCTTCTCTGAGAAATGACATTTCTTGTAGTGCTAGATATGGCCTTGGTCAGTCAGGTGTGTGACTTCACTATTTTTATTGAGAACATGAATCCTGCTCCCCGTGTGCCTGTCTTTCCTGCTACAGGAGGATTTTAGAGTTCAGAGAAAAGAGAGATTTATAAATCCAGCTGGTTGCATTTTTATTACAAATTTGCAGGAGGCATTTTATTCTGAGCACATCGGACAATTTTACTCTGACCTTTAAAATGATGATGCAATCACCATATTCACATTGGTGGGTTTTTTTTTTGGGTCAGACAACCCAACTCAAAACTCTGCAAAATTACTTTCTGTACACTATCAGCCTAACACCAACACACTAGTAATATGAAAGCAAGAAAAAAACTGGGTTAGTGAACAATCAAAGTGTAAGTCACTGACTTTAAGTCTCGAGGTACAGTATTATGGTTAGTTGGTTATGGTTTTCTCTTTAACCCCTAATCACAATGATCAATGCTGCAAGTCATGAAATATCATCCTGTTTGCCCTAAGGTTTTAATTGCCTTTAATATGACATGCTAATGTTGTACGTAAAATTTTGATCCAGAAAAATTGCAGATAACGTGCAATGGACACCAAGTCTGACCGTGGTGCTATTTCACTCAGCTAGCTGCTGTTTGACAATGTTGAGTTTAAATATCGTCACAAGGCACGGGGACACAGACAACCCGTACAAGATTCACTAATGAATAAAGGTTGTGAAATGGTATATTTACCCGAAACTTCAGCAACTTTCTGGAAAGTCCCGCAGTTAATTATGCATCATATCAACTCATGTGTGAAGTACATAGAGTTTTGTTTATTAACCAAAGATTAAAAAGAAGTTGAACACTGACAATCAAGAGAGATTTCCATTAACTCTGGTTAATTTAATATAGAGCTCCAATAGGTGACAGTTTCACTTTTGCATTTTTTATTTACCATCTCTAGTAACAGTTTCCTAACTGACGTTGTGGTCTGTTGTTGATCTGAAACCAGCAACCCTGGGCTTCAAATTCTTCTTTAAAAAAAATAAGCTTTATTGCTAATTTAAATCAGGTGAGAGCCTCATGAACTGATAATCATGAACATTATCTTGTCAGTCGTCCCCGTTTCACAGCCACTTCCGGTCTGTTTCCTGGGCTGTATTTTAAAACGACACGGTCGGGTCCATTTTTATTTCCAGACTATAGTTCGTATGAGAACAGATAGAAAAAGTATTTTAATAAAGAAAAACTAGTAGAAAGGATTATACCGCAGTTAGCATAACATATATATACATAACGGCGTTAAGTGGTGGTAGGTCGTTGTTCGTTGCTCTGTGTGGTTGTGACCCGATGTTACTGTTGGTTCTTACCTGGCCAACCTCGCCGAGTCCTCCTGAGCCATCCATGCGGGGACGCTTGCACTCCGCCCCGGTAGAGTCTACTAAAGCCGCCGCCGTTTGTCCGTCAGGCTCCGGGTCCCCGCGCTTCATGCCCCGAACAGCTGCAGGAGCGCCGCCCGCGTTGGGATGCACTCCGGCCATAGTGTCCAGCTCTCTATCCCGGTCCATGAGACCCCGGGACACGGGCAGCATGATTGACGCAACGTCGGTCGACATTAACATCTAAAAATCGTCTTGTTGTCCCCTGGTTTACAAAGCTAAAGTGAGACTTAGATTCGCCCTGATCTACTCTGAGTGCACCTCTGTGCTTAAAGCAGACCTGAAGTGTTTTCACTGCGGGGTTCGGTAGTGTTTAGGTAGCTGCCAGGTAGCCCTAATGTGCTCTAGCGTGGCTTGTAATGACCCCTCTTTGAATTAATTCACTTGAAATGTTTAGAAACAATAAAAACGTTCACCAATTGCTCCGTTACAACGCCAACATGTCCCCAAAAACAAACACGGGTTTGTGGGCTTGACTTCAGCTGTAGCCCTTGTTTTGCAGCCCGTGGATTTATTTACTACCTAAGAGGCCTTCGTCATTCCGGATCATAACAAACCTATAGAATAATCGCCGCCTAATCACAACGACTCCTGAGCAAAGCCTACCGCCAAGTGTCCATTTGGCCTCTCTTCAGTGTTCGTAGTCAGTCTTTAGGAGCACATGAACATCCTACTGCAGCCTGAAGACGGAGAAAAGCCTCAATATGTCTTCCCTGTCTTTTCTCCTCTCTGCCTTATTAACCCCACACTGTAGCACATAGCAGAGCTCCACTGGAAGTCAGTCCTCGTCAGGAGCTCTCTCTTTCCCCATGTTAGTCCGCCAGCCTCCGTCACGAGAAAACACGCTTTCGATTTTGTCTCCCCACGGCTCAGAAAAGACTGGACTACAGCTGGAGGACAGACGGACACGGGAGCTGTGGTGTTTCCTCCTCACTTCTTCTTTTTCTTGCCTATTATTTCCCTTGCTCGCTCGGCTTCCCTACGTGTTCTTGCAGCGTGTTACAGAAAGGAAATTGTTCGCTCCCCCCTCCTTCTCCTACTCTCTTGCAGGAGTCATTCTTCCTCCTCCTCCTCCTCCTCCTGCTTCCCCTCCTATCTTCCGCTCTCCCTTTGAACGCTGAGCCACTCAGCCATGCAGCCTGCTGCTGCTGCTACACGCAGTCTGCCGCAGTGCTTCCATACATTTCACAGCTTCTGTGCGTGTGTGTGTGTGTAAGACATAGAATGTTCCTGTTTACAACATTTTCACCACCATTTCTGGACCTGTTACGGTTGTTTTCGGACCAGTAGTCCTGAAGAGGAAACCTCACTTACGAAGCTCTGATTCAAACCACGAAGAGATTAATTTAAATAAACCATAAGATCACGACAAATATTTCCCTCATTCATTTCTGATGCCAACGTCTGCAGTGACGTTGCCCTCTACTTCAATTTCTCCTTTTCTCTTTCCTTCACAACCAACCTGGGCTATTGTTGCCAGATCTCCTGAAAGAAACAAGCAACCAGGTCTACAAATAGAAGCTCTGAAAAAAAAACTACCCACTGACCAAATGAGGCTGAAGGTGGGGAAAAACTCCCAAAACATTTCTATACGATTTTGCTATCGTAATATTTCATTAATTGTAAACATTTCGTGATGTTGAGCATATTTTTTAATACGTATAAGTATAGGTTTAAAAATAATAAATAAGTCTAAGTCTAGTCCTTTAATACCTTTCTTTGGTCTTTTTTTATTGGTGCAGGGTAGCAGCCAATCAGAGGCAGAGCTGAATGAGTCCTGCATGCCTTTGCTATTTTTCTGTGGACAGATGCTGCATTTGAAAAAACATAACAGATATATGAAAAAATAAAAATAAAAAAGAATCTTAAGAAGTACCTTCACTTTATATACAAAGAAACCCCTGCAACTCTGCACTGGGAAACAGCTGATCTAAATTAATTAGTTATTTACCAAAGGGACACAGCCTCTGTCACCGGCAGTGATAGAATGCAAAAGGTGCTGCCCTGAAAATCTGACAAAACAGAGATTCCCAATCACTGGGCCATGGCACATTAGTGTGTCGTGAGAGATCAATTTCACTTAATTGGTGTAAATTTACTGCAAATTAGTTAACACTGTTTGTCATTACAACACTGGAAGGCAGCAGACGATATAAAAGTTTTAAAAAAGCAGGACAGAGAGATGTTGAAGAAGATATTTGTATGTGCCTTTCTTCAATTCCTGCCAGTATAGCAGCATTCTGTTTAACTAAACAGACCCAGCTTCCATGCTGAGTGAGGAAATTGTGAGTAAATTACTACTAGAAAATTCATTATATTTCATTACATATATTTTGTTTGGATGTGCACCAGGGATGGAAAACTGGAGAATCTGTGCTGTAAATAGGTCAAAAAAGGTTGGGAAACACTGCATTAAAAAAAGGGCTCAGCGTGGGTCATTAACAGAGTTAACCTGGCAAAACTATTGTAACTATTGTCAAGAAAAATGCCTTGTGCTAATTTTCATTTCTTTTGCAAGACGAACGTCCTGACGTTCACTTTTTAAGCTAAATTGTTGTTGTGTTTGTTTAATAGGAAAGGACAAAGTGACAAGTAGCTTAGGTTTTCAAAAACAAATCCATCACTGTCGCATACTTTTCATTAAAGTCGAGGTGGTAATGGAAATTCTTTCAAATTCACATATATTTGTCACCATTAAAGTCACAAGACTAAACCAGTCAGATACTTTTTGTTAGTAATAAATTATATAAGAAATAGTTGAAGAATGTGTTCATTAGTTTCTCAAATTAATTTGTATCAGTCCTAAAATATATATGCTCACTAAAATATGTATCATATTTAATCTAAAAAAAAGGCTATATTTCATGTCATGAATCAGCCTCACTTGTATCCAAAGGATTCCAAGATGTTGACATTGGTAAATAGAGAAATGACATCCTGGTACTGGTTCAAAATACACACATGTATTCATGAATCCGTCTTATTTATTACTTACTGAATGGCACCAAGCCCGGTTTTTCCTTTAAGACACATACAGTATTTATCCATTTTTTATGTTGGTGTTGGTGGGGGAGGGGGGGCTGCTCTATCTCTTCATCAGTTCTTGTGCTGAAAAATGTTAAAGACCCCGTGTTACCACGTATGATCGAGTTTGTTTATTTTCCCTGGTTCAAATTTAGCTCTAAAAACGTATCAAAACATCACGTGTTCCTTGGACGCCATTAGTTGCACCGCTGCCAGAGTGTAACAGCTCTGTTCAGTGATGTTGTGGTGGAGCTCATTCCTTACTTATTACACAACTGAGGCTGAAAAAGCTCTCCCCGGCCCAGCTGTGAGTCATGCAGCACGGAGAACCTAAGGTTCCCGTGGCATTTTTATTGCTGCGAGGACACCCAGTGGTCAAACGCTACAAGGAGAAGCACATGCCGCACATCACCGTGCAATTAAATCTTAATCCCAAATCCTAATCCTGATTTATAAATTTAAAATTAAACCCCAGCTACCGTTCACCATCGCCGCCCAGACTAATCCTAATAAAACAATGTTCATTTTCAGTGATGTGCTTCTCTGCCTTGACGCAGTTAAGAAAATCGATAACTGTACAATAGTCGCAGCATTTTTTTTTCTTTATGTAAGGAATTATGCCAACAGCGCATCCAATAGTTAATGATTCACATTACCCACCTTCAGAGTCTAATTTGTAAACTGCCATTTGTCATTATATAACACGTGGTGAACTATTCTTGGCCTGAAGCGGGGACTTATTCAAGTGTGTTCTGCATTACCTGGCCTGGTGACAAGAAACACTGAAGAAACCTCGACTGAAAAAACCAAAACAACGCACAAAAACTCTAACCTGTTTTTCATCATTCAGTCAGGCCCATTATTTGACAGTCAGTGTTTCCAGTCTTCCCATTTACCTTGATCGACCGACTGGAATAACTTTCTCTTTCATTCAAATCACAGACAAACAATTAAGCGCATTTTACAGCAGGTAAACAGTCAACTCGTTGCTCGTTCACTGTTTTCACATTGCTATTGTAATTACATGTAAACAGACAGAATGTTCCAATGTCAATTTAACATTTGTGTAACAGTGTAAACTACAGAGCCGTGACTCATTTACATTGTTGAATACAAAAACCAAGCAGGTAAAACAGAAGATTTCTGTGTACAGAGAGTTGTTAGGCTTGTCTCCAAAGAGACTTTTAAACAAATAAAATACTATTTCAAACAAATACAGAAGGCAAGGTTTTTCTTGCAACAGTGCCACCAGGACTGTTCAGAAACTTCAATCACTTCCAGGGAGTCACTGGATTATCTTCCCTTAACTCTTTTTATTCAGCACACAAAAGTCTGTTTGTTAAAACTTGTTTACTTTGTCTGTGTTAAATACATTTATTTCTGTTTACTGTTGCTTGCATATTTCCCAAATGTATTTTTAAAATCTGTTATTGTTCTGTTCTTGCCAGGTCTCCCTTTAAAATTCAAAGTAGAGTTGTGTACATTCTGAAGTGAAAGTAAATTACTGTTTGTGTCCCTGCTCCAAAAAAAGGATGAGGTTTGGGTCCAGATTGGAGACGATATTTAAAAGAAAAAACCTTGTCTGCACCGATGCAGAGCAGGTCTGGTTTAACCCCAGACTAACATTTTTAATGGTTTAAATGTAATAACGAGACGGGGTTTTGACTGGATCCATCTTGGAGCTGTGATTTCCACCAATTCCAGAGCTATCAAGTTATTTAAGTGACTTCCATCTAGGCGCCATATTGGATCAGTTCAGAGTATTTGGGGATTCATGTCCTATTTAGTTCCTATGATTTCCTTCACAAATTTGAACATGTGGTTATTCGAGTTTGTACATCTGCACAAAACCATAAATGCTTCGTGTGCGACATACTGACGTGTTCCACCATCTTATGGACCAAGAGACAGAAATCAAAATAAAACAAGATGAATAAATGATGAGTGTAACCATTAGGAGCAGCCTTACATTAAATGCTCCAGTAGTTTTGCTCCACCGTCAACTCTATTTTCTGTAAACCCATTTCTCTCATGTACAACAACAACGAAGATCTGAGTCTCAGTCAGCAGCAGAGCCCAGTGTTCAAGTAAACAATGCTACCTCCCTGTTTCGATGGAGTGCCACTTCCTGCAATAAAAACCAAATGGCTGCAGGCTTATGAAAACACGGTCTCGCTCTCTCTCACACACACACACACACACACACACCGTGAATGTTCTTAAATGGCTTTTATTGGTGGAGTTAAAAAAAAAAGTTAGTGAACAGACACGATGACGATGGCCGACACCATTGTATTTTAACATGAACTCCACACCATATTACCACCAGAAACATCTTTGTCTCAGACTCCAAGCATTTTCCATGTTGTAACTGAAAAACAGGAAATGGATGAGTCTGAATAAATTATTCAAGCCACTCCTCATTACTAAATCATTGTCCTGCTGTCATATGGAAATACAGCCACTGCTGACTCTATGGCTGCTTTGGTGCAATGAGGGATTTTTTTTCCATGGGTGTTTTCTATGAAAACCTCAAGAATAGACCAGGGTGTGGTGGGTGATCCGAGGACAGAGACAGACAGCTAATTCTCCTCACCCTCACTGGCCAAAGCATCCTTCAACACAAGGTCCGTCGCTTGGTGAACACACTTCAGTTGAGCACATGAAATAGATCTAAGAGACAGGAGCAGGATTAGACACCGTCACCAGAGGGGGGAGCCATGTGCTACGGCATGCAGCTGTAAGTGATTGAGATTTGGCCCGAATTTGCACTTGACTAAAATTGTCTTTCTACAAATAAATGTAAGGACACGACAGTAAAAAGATTCATTTTCCACTTTAGTACCACAAGTGTTTGTTGCAAGAAAAAAAAAGAAGCAATTTACTGTGCACATCATGAGAGTTGTAGTGCTTCAGTTTTCATCAAAACAACAAATTATAACATGAGAAAGCTTTTTACACACACCTAGCTCACTGTAGGGAGCAATTATTGTTTGATATAAACATTATTGTCCATAATTCGAACAGAATCAGACTGAGATGAATCTGCTCTGGACATGTTACTGCGGTGCAGAGTAAACCTGCTTACCTCCTCATTCGTATCCTTGAGCACACCGTCATCAAGGAACTGGAACGTGCTAATGGTAAAGCGACGGGTCTGACGACTAGGAACAGGTGACAGGACCACCTGATGTGGGGGTGGATCTAAAGGGTTGGGACATCTAGAAACAGAGTAATAATTTACCTCTCAGCAAAACATGGAGGAACTGAATTTATCTGTGTATTAACCAGTGTCCTACAGAGTAGTACTGTATTCCACTACTGATCATCAATTGTCAATATGTTTTTGTCGATGTGCTGACGTACCCATTGTAAAGCAATATCCAGATAGACTTCCCAGACCTAGGGTAGGCCACGCAGAAGTGCACCAGCAGCACCAAACTGGGATCAGGGGGATTAAGAATCCGCACCTCAAGGTAGAGGGGTTTCCCCAGGAGCATCTGCAGGGGCTGGTGATACTGAGGGTAATAGCTGCTGTACTGAGCATCTGGAAAACCAGGGAGGTGTTGGATTAAGTTAAAAAAAGCACAATAAATAAATAAATAAATAAAATCAACAACAACATTCCGTTAAAATTAAAAACTAAACGGTACCTTTTGCGATCCTGAGTTGGACCCCAAACATTTCCTTTGGCTGAACTCCAGCACCAAAGCTTGGAGTTTTCACAAGGTAGCTCACAGGCATAACAGAGTCTGGTTGATATCTGCACTCCACCAAAAACCTGAGGTTTGGGATGGTTTGAGTATTTAGTGAAGATACTAAAACCAACATCTCATACATTACACTCGGTAGATAAGGAAGTAAAAAGCCGTCTAACAGCAAACACATACAGTGTATCAGGAAACAGAAAGCTAAAAGGCCACAATCACTGTCTGTATGGCTGTTTTTAACACTGACAGCCATCACTGGCCTGTGTTGACATCACTACTACACCAACAGTTGGAAGCAACATTAACTGACCTGACAGGAGAATCTCTTGTAATGGTGCCGTAGTTGAAGCTGATACCTTGAACATTGCTGACGATCTCCACTAGGTAGATCACCATTTTCCCCACGACCTGTCAGAATCGCATCAAAAGCACAAAGTGAAATATCCACAATTGGATAAAGAAGTGCTAAAATGTCTCTAACAGACATACCCCGGTCAGCAACATGTATATCTAACCAGCTGCTAACCAGATAGCACTCTGTCAAGGCAGTCCGTCGAACTTTAAACATCGTATCAGAATTGGAAAGAAAGGGCAATTTCACTGACCATACTGTCAGATGTTGTTTGGCAGCAGATGGTACCAGATGGACAGGTTACCGACCTATCTAGGTACCTAGGGTTTACAGACAGTTGTTCTAATTAGACAAAATATCCAGTGAGCGACAGTTCTCTAGGCAAATTCACCTTGTTGATGCCAGAATTCAGAGGACAACAATAACTAAAACAACCTTTGCACCAGCTTGGCCAGAGGCTGGGGAGGTATTAGTTTGATCCTTGGAAAATGCCCATAATATTAGACTGTGCCAAGTAATCTGACAAATTTGCAACATTAGCATAAAACATTTATTTTTGCCAAAAAGGAAAACAAAGTAAATCAGCTCAAATTAAAGAATCAAGATGGCGTTAGTTCTGGACCAGTTTATTACGTTAAACAGATTTATAAGTACGGTTAGCAGTTAGCATTGTTGCCTCTATCAAAACCTTGATTAATCAGTTTGTTCTCCCCTCTGCACTGATTCATCTGAGTCCATTACTTTATCTGATTTGGTATTAGTTGAAAGGGAAACTTGAGTATAGCCCCTGTAATAGAGACCACAGACTGCCCAGTGTGTCACGCTCTTTTTACCCACAGTCACCTGGGACAGCTCTACTCAGACAACTTAACAGGACAACGTTTAAAGATGAATTGAAGGAGATGGCACCAAGACAAAACGTACAATGGTTTCCATCTGTTAATATTGCTGGACAACCCAGTATCATTCTTTTCTCTGGGACAGATGTCAACCAATCAATACTTGGGAGAAAGGTGTTCATTGATTAGAGCTCACCACTCTGCGGGCCCCGCAGCCATCCATTGGGATTTTAAACAAGGCGTAGTCAGGAGTCACTCTCTGGGGTTTGCAGGTGGAGTTGCTGGCAGCAACCAGCAGCGCAGGAGAAAGAGGAGGCTCAGTGATTGAGGCAGGCACAGTGAAGACAAAGTGATGGTCAATAGTGCACTCTGGAGGAGACACACACACACACACACGCACATATAAGGAGAAACGTGATAAACAAAAGGTCAGAAACCTCACTAGGCAATTGATAATAGGACCTGAGGTATCTTTTATCCTTTCACACTCTGTCTCACTGCCAGCCTGCATCACGCTGAGGTGGAATAAACCTCTTCACATATCCAGCAGCTCTCATTCTTAACTATTCCGTTAGCCCAAATCAACTCCACTGCACTCTCTGTAGGTCATGAAAACACTTGGGGAAGCTGCAAACTTACCATCCATGGGGTAGAAGCAGGTGCGGGTTTGCTTACTGTAACAGCAGCCCATGGAGAGGCACTGTGTCCGGGACACAAATGAAGGTCCACAGGGGAGACGCTGTTTGCCGGGGATGTTGCAAACTGTAGGACAGCAGGACAAATGTCAGCTGTAGAATATCTCTGAATGGACGGGGTGTTACTGAATGGTCTTAAGGAAGTGTAAAAATAAAATCCTCCCACCTTTGATGGGAGACGAATGGACAACAGGACAAGACAACCGAGTCTCCCTCCTCCCATGTTTTGTCACATAGACAATAGAGATTATGTACATTTTACCCTTTTTGGAGAAAAACGTTTACATAGTTGAGAGAGAGAGCAAATGGTCAAATACACCAAATGTCACGTGTGAAATCGTAGTCAATACCTGCACACCCATGTGGCAGCCAGACTGCAGGTCGAGACTAAGATGAATTTGGCCATTTGTGCCTTGGCTTGCAAAGTACCCACAATGCTTTGGAGCATCCTGGAGCTTAATCTGGTTTCCTTTGAGGTCTGAAAAAGAGCAGTGAGAACAAATACATTTTACATCTTTAAAAGATGAAGTTATTACTCACATCAGGGTTTTGTTTTAAAGTATTTTTGGCAGAGCATACAAACAATACTGTGCAGCAGCATATCATGCTGCAGTCAATGGGAGTAGCCTGTATGTGCCTGTACTGTATGTACAATAACTACTTGGGCTGATAAGGCCATTTCCTCTTCTCTTTAGTGTTGGTCATCTTTCTTCAGGTTGTCCCTTTAATACTTGTTTGGTTTGAAGTGGCCTTTAGCAGAATATGTTTTTCTGATTCTGTAACTGTGAAATAACGTGAGCTCCTAAAATACACTGTACTTAATTTCATTTTCTGAGGGGCCAACAGATCATCTAGGACTGAATAAAAATATTTTCCTTGGCTTCTGACACTGTCATTGTTTTTAGTTCGTCATCAGCATGGAACTCAAAGGGTACTTTGTATTTGCTCGTCTTCCTTCTTTGTTCTCTATTGTTACTGTACGGTTCCTTGACTCTGGGTTTTAAAGTACAGTGGGTTTGACTGACAAAAACAGCTCACTTTTCTTTTTTAAAGCTGTTAAAAGTAGTCTGTCAAAACAAAGTCAAATTTATTGCATACACAGGTGACAGCATTTGTGTGTTCCTGGTGCATATAAACTACACACACTCACACACACCGACAGACCTTTAAGAAGAATTCCAGAGATTGGCCCAGATGGGATCTTTACCGACATTTGATGGGAGGAGCAGATGATTTGAGGCCTAGGGTCAGCAGAGTCAGTGGTGGTGGGTGGGGTTAGGGGTGTTGGTAGAAGATCTGGCGCTGGAGTTTCAGGGCCACTGTCATAGGGACAGACCAGCTCCAGAGTACGATACTGCGCCATGGAAAGGTCCCAAAACCTCAGAGGTAAAGAAATTGTAGTTGGAGTCTAAGGGCAGAGATTAACCAGGTAAAGACAAATGAAAACAGATTCCAGCTCCTGAAAGTTGAGCCCAGGTTACAACATTTTTTTTTTTTTACTTCTTATCTTAGATGACTTACTCAGTACATACAAAGTACAAATGCCTGCGGTGCAAATGCTGTAAAATATCCATATGGGAATAATTATAAATATGGAGCCTCATCTGTGTTCCATATACAGGCAGCACTGGTGTCATAAATCGTAGTGACAACTGCAGTCATTAAAAAAAAAAAAAAAAAAAAGGAAATACACCCACCGGCATCACTACTCCACGATAATTTCACACTGTGGGTTGTCATTGCGTTAATCTGCATTATGGGACTACATTCACAGATTGTCGTTATTCAACAGTAAAAAAATACAAAAAATTCATGTACAGAAACCAGATTGTCTTTCTCCACAGAAAGACAAAAAAACGAAGCACCTGTGACCAGCCATGGTGCCATTAAAAATCCTCCATTAATGTAACACGGAGGGCCTATAATTTATCCTCAACACCTGTAGATGACCATAACCATGGCCTTCTTTTGAATCCCTAACAATTTTGCAGTATTTGTATTTTGTTTGTACTTGTAGTGTATATGGTGACCAAGGTTTAGGAAGGACCTTACCTGGTACTGACTGTGGCAGGCAGGCAGGGGAGCGTAAAGAAAAACCCCAAAGGTCTGAGGCATCAGCATGTAGCCACACAGTGTTGACACGTTGAAGAGAAACTGCCATGTCTTCAGTTCATCTGATGCAAGACACAATAGGAATTAGATTTCTGATCTTTATTAAGACAGTGATCATTACTGAGCTCCACTCAGATATGCTGTGAACTCTAGATGTTCTTCAGACATTTTTGGGAAGGACTGCATGTGTGATCACAACTGTAGGAGAAATTGCTCTGGACCTCCTCCTGCCAAATTCTCTGCTAAATTCTTTGGAAAAAGTCTGAGTGAGTTCATGTGAGAATGCAGCAGGAGAAACCCTGGATAATTTACAGACCAAATTACATGTTGAAGCCAAGCCCCGCCCCCTGGCTCTGGTCCTTTGGAAATGCTCCAGCTGTTGTGAACACATCTCACCAGACAATGTGCAGCTGCGTTTGTCACGTGTGAACGTTAAACGCAGGAGAGCGCCAGAAACTAAATTTTTAGAGTTGGTCTAAAAACGTATCACCAGGTTCAAAGGTAAAATTGTCTCTAATAATAAACAATAAATATGAATATTTATAAATGTCATTTCCTGAAGCATTTCATTCACAGCACTGGACTTTAAACATGCATCATATACTGTAGTAAGAATATTATCAAACACTGAACAGAGAAAAATAGGTTTTGATCCTAACCAGGTGGTGGCGCCCTTACTTAGATCTTCTTCTGCCACCCACTGACAATATTCTAAGATTGGAATATTCAGATAATTAGAGGATTTTTGTGAAACTACTTTGTCTGGGAATGCAAAGTAACGTAAGCATCCAAAATCAAGTCAGAATGTTCAGAAAGTCTGAACTATCCATTAAAAATATGTGGCATTCAGCCTATTATTAAAGTCATTAACCTACTGTCATTACTGACTTTAATTTTTTGTTTTCTGTTTGAATGAGTCTGATGACAGCCACATTTAAACTCTAATGTCAACGACCACGCAAGAAACAGATCTTGATCAGACTTTAGTAACATGACCTGCAGTGTGAACATTGACATCACCTGTGTGTCAGTGTCAGTTTACAGTAGGCTGTACTAGAGTCTGCAGAGGATGGAGGGAGACACCCATCCTCAGAGGACCTCACACACACCACAGCTTACATTTTACACAGCCAAGACATTCCAAGATACAACCTTAGGCAACAACAAAACATAAATATCACATTTGCTCCACCACTGACCTTGAACCTGGATGGAGTCCAGATGAGCATGGGGTAGGAAAACCACCACCCTCTCCTTCTGACACTGGTAATGAGGCATCTGTGTCTTGAGAGGAGTTTCAGTAGGTGCTGTTGTACACGTTGGGGCAGTAGAAGGTGTAGCAGCAGTGGTGGGGAGGGTGGTGACGGGCTGTACCGTGGTCATTGGTGTTACTTCAGGGTACTGCAGCCCAGGAGGGTAGGGTGGAGGGTAGTATGTATGGTAAAAATTATAGTAGAATGGATGGTAGAGATAGGGAGAAGGTGGCTGCAGCTCAGGACCAGATTCTGTTAGATAAGGAAAGTCTGCAGTGTGAGGCTGGTAAAATGTAAGGAAGTGTGAGAATTTTTGGGAACCACTGTCCTGTCCTGGACCAGGAGTTGGGTCAAATATGAATATGGATTCAGGATCAGGAAGAGAAGGAGAAATGTGCTGCTCTCCTGGAGCGTAAAGTAACCTGTAGAGAGACTCCTGCTGCAGCTGCTGTGACCCAGGAGCATGGCCTGAAGGTGGATCAGTAGGTTTAACATGTTGTGGGCCAGGGGGGTAGGCCTGAGGAAGCCCTGGGTACGGGTCATAAGGGTTGTATGGAAGCTGAAGAATCTGCTCCTTAGTCGGTGTTTGAGGAGAGTAAGGACTGGGAGGAGGTTGAGGAGGGGTTGGAGGATAGGTAGAGGGTGCAGGGCTCGCAGAACCTGGGAGGTCAGGAAAGTAAGGGCCGACAGGACAGGAGAGAAAAAATCCCTGCTCATCCAAAACCATCTGAAGATGTGGTCCCTCCTGTGAAATATCAGGCAGAGAACTGGAATTAAACACCAGCGGCCTGGCACTGAGGCTGGATCAAACAGGAAAAACTCACTGAATTAATGATACAGGAATCTTTGAAGGGTATGAAGAAAGTGAACTCGTTCTGTCTCAGGTGGGCGAGATATGCACAGTCTTCAGATACAAACGGACCCCAGTCTGAAGAAGAAGATTTCAGTTAGTACAACAGTTATGATAAATATTTAACCTATTTTCAAGAGCATCATATTCTCACCAGCAGGAAACAGCTGATAAATGTTAGATAGATGCAAGAGATGACCTCCATGTAATAGGTCCACTGACACAGACTAATCAGATGGATCAACTCAAACTAATCAATGATTTTTATTCCTAATATAGCAAAATTATTTCTTTAACAGAAATTGCACCCTGTAGTCTTCTGCATACTGTTGTATAAGGTCATTATTTGAGTAGCTCATAAACTCAATCTAACAAAGTCTAATACAGGGGATGTCCTGTTCTTAAACCCTACTTAAAGACTCTCTTAATCCCAGGATTGTCCTTGGTTGATGTGTAGTTTCTACATAATCTTTTATTTCATGTTCACTTGTATATGTTTACTGCCTTGCTCTTAGTTAGCCATTTTCCTTATGCTTTGAGTCTGATTCTATTTTACCTGTTTTTTTCTGATTTTTAAACCACATCATGCCAGACTGACCACAGTGTTGTACAATAACTAAAAATATACACAAACAGGGACGCTCTGCCAACTAACAGAAGAAGCAGCAAAAACAAAAAACAAAAAGAAGCGAACATGTACAGGAGGTGAACAGTGACTTGGTTTTGTTTACCCCTGTTCACTCTTGTCTTTGCTCCTGTTTTGCTGTGTTTGTGTTTTGACTGCCCTTGGTGTAAGAGTGTTTCTCCAAGTCTGTATACATAACAGTGTATATTTAGTCTTTGGTCAGCCCAGCTGTTTGAAAAGCACCTCATAAATAAATATGCTGATTTTTAAAAATAAACTGGTATAAAACGAAATAAATAAACTCAGCAAACAGAAAGAACAGCATCAACTGCCGTGGCTGTAAGGAGACTGGAGGCTGATTTGTGTTGTAAAAATAAAGCAGTAACTGCAGGTATAACAGGGGCTTTCCCCCATGAGATGTTTGTAGATAAACAGACAGAAAATTTTGTGTGGGATAATGGAATGAAGACCAGTTTAGCAGACAATACAGGCAGCAGCAGTGAGGTTTAAATGAGGCTCCAGTCAAATGGGAAAGCAGCGAAGTAAACAAACAACCAGTTTGTTCAAAATAAAAATCATTGCTACGTTCCTCCTAGAGCAGAGATACCTGTGACTCCCAGCTTGGCTATATCCTGTTCCTGCCCATGGATTTGAACTACCATGCCGTAGTGGGAGCAGAAGACAGAGGGGAGAAAGTGGGAGGGAGGGAGAGCCGAGGATGGCAGCTGCACAGGACAGGACAGTCTCAGAGGGTTGGCCCACCACAACAGTGGCAGCACATAGCTGTCATTCTGACGAGAAGAACCAAAAAGGAAACGAGAGTGAGACTTTCAGAACATTGTTGTCAGGTTGCAGCGAAGGTTCTTCCAGTACCTCCAGTGTGATGTAACATGCATCATAAGGCACCGTGACCTCCAGGTCACTTGTTGACATCCTCACGGTGTAACCACAGTACGGAGGCAGCTGGGACAGAGAGATGGGCGGTGCTGCCCCTGTACCAAAGAGAACCGACATTTGAGTCTCACTGAGAAAGTATTTGATCGGTGATATTTTATAAACATCTTTTTATAAACAGCTTTGACAAGTTTTGTCATTACGTCTTTTATTCGGTGTTATTTCACTTTTCTTTTGAAATCACAAAAACACTTTAGCCAAAGTTCAATTGACATTTATTAAAATTATTAAAAATCAAGCATAAAGTTTTGAAATCGCAAAAACACTTTAGTCAAAGTTCAATTGACACTTATTAAAATTATTAAAAATCAAGCATAAAGGTGTGCTATTACTGATAAAACTGTTTAAGACATCAATCTTTAACTGGAAACCAAGTTACTCCACATTCCACCACATCCAGATAAGCTTTTATAAAGTTGAGCAGTTTGATACGTATGTATGGACAAATTATTTGATATTCAAATTTGTCAACAACAAAGCTTCAATGTTACAATGTAGTGTTACCTCTGTCTACCAACAGGTGAGTCAGTCCCTGTCCTGAAGCAGTGAAGGTCATGACCTCCTCATCACACCACACCAACGGCCTCATTTCCAGCAATTCTGAGAATTGTGGAGTTAATAGTGGAGCCACAACTCTTCCCTTGAACCCGTGAAACTCTGAAGAGCAAAGGCATGGTATAGGAGGGTGTGTAAAGACGTAAACAATTAGCAATTAGCTCTAGCGAGTTTCCAACACTGGAAAAGTCTTTAAATCGAGTGATATTAACCTGCAAAATCCGATTGATAGCCGTCTTTTTTGGCAGAAGCTGAGGCATTTGTGTTGGTTCTGACGTTCCCAACAGACCAGGACAAACTTGACGACACAACGTTTCTCTCGGCCTCCTTCACTTTTGGCAAAATAAAGTTCGGAAGTCTCTCCCCCGGTAGTACAGCAGAGTGAAGCTGATGGCCGCCCACACTTGGAGGTTTAGTTTTGCTCAGACGGACGAGCCGTTTATCCATGAGACCGTTGCCCTCGTCGTCACTGCTTCTTTCCCAGGTGTCGGCGATTGAGTTATCAGACGTTTGTTCTGAACTCGATAATAAATGATTGACTATGAACAGAAATAAGAAAAGACCGAACTCTCTCTTCTGTTTGCGAGACATCATCAGATAATAGATGCTCTTCGTTTAAACGTGACGTAGCCTCACAGGCAAACAGTTAAATAGCAATTAGGCAACGACCAATCACAGAGCCGCAGCTGTCCAGAGCCGGAGCAACGGGCCTATTAAATACTTAATACTATAATTCAACACAGTATGAACAGCCGAAGAAGAATGCTAAAGTTTACGTCATTTTCTTTATTTTCTTTTTTACGTTATTTATTTATTTTTGCAAATACACTGTATTTCAGCACACAGTACCGACTAACTTTTATGTTGATGAAAATCAAAATATAAAAATATATTGTTAAATAATTTTGAAATATATTGAAATATAATATGACATATTGGGCAGTTGTATCCAATTTTGACTGTTTCCACGCACTAACATTTCATTCATGGGGAAAAAAAACTATCTCACAGCATATTATATAATCAATTATATTATATAGTTTCACATTATTCACGTTAATTAAGAAATATATTTCCAGACCTTCACATTGAATAAAATAATGCATTTTATTCTGTTTCTGTATTTTTTCCTACTTATGAGGAGTGTGTGACTTTTTTTTTCTGTTTTCTATTATTATCTCTTTTTTTCATTTAGTGCAAAACAATTCTGAGACACAGAGATATTGTCAGGGAAGGGCAGCATCACACTTCATAAAAGCAACAGAAATTTTTTTTTTTTTTTTTTTTTTAAAAACAAGAAAACCAGGAGAGTCAAGGGCAGCATGCCTGAAAGAGTAGAGGAAACGTTGGAAGTTGCAGCAGTGAAGTCCCCTCTCATTACAGACACATTTCAAGGCCAAGCAAGTGCAGCTGATCAGCAGATCTGAGAGAATAGACAGGAAACTTAAGGCGAGTCAGAAAGTTAGGGCGGAGAAGATCGTTGAGGAATTTAAAGGCTAAGGGAATGATTTAGAAAATGATTCTCAAGTGCAAAGGGAGGAAGGACAGAATGTGGGAAATGTGCACATGCACGGCTGTGCTGCTGAACTATCTGCACATGTGAGAGGGAATCCTAACTAAAGCCTACAGTAAGCACAGAGCAGTTGTTGAAAACCAGCTGTAATTTCAATCATCATCTCTTGACAGAATAGACAATTGCCTTTGACTGACTACCTGAATAAAACACTGGAGGTTTAAATTAAAACTGATCTCAGTCGATCCATGACTTGTCAATGTAATCTCACGCACTGATGACCCGGAATCAAACGCAAAACCCAGGAGACTCTGAGACCTCTTTCCTGAGACTCAGACCCTAACCCTAATCCAGGTACTGACATGAACTGAACTTGAACTTTTCCTTCATGAATTGGACTCAGACATGGACTTGAACTCTGAGGCCTTCATTGTAACTATGGTTTTTACCCTGTGGATGTTCATTCTGTGTTTGCTTTTGCGTTTGTGTGTTTAGGGAGGTGTGTCCCCATGGTGGTGCCATAAAGCAGATGTTATAGGTGTGTTCTCTCCATTGTTGATGCAGTGTTGAGGACAATGACCACGTACCTTGCCTTTATTGTATCCAGTAACCCAGTTTGATTGAAGCAAGCATTCTTGATAACAAAACATTTTTCCAGCCTCTTGCTTTTCCAGCCTAAGATGTTTTAGAAATTATTTAAAGAATAGTTACAGTAAGAAATATTTTTTCAGTCTTCAGTCTTTATTCCTGACTGTTTCCATTCTTAAAGACTGAACACGGTGAACCTGCTGCCTCTTCTACAGTGTGTGAAATTACCCTGCACCCTTTTTGATTGGCCAATTGTGCCCAGTTACTCATAGTACTTATACTGGTTTGGACCCACCTGTTGAAATGATAACTCTATTGACTCAGATGTAGAATGCGAGGAGAGCATCAATTTCCTATTCACTGTGAGGTCATGATAAACCAGCACGGGTCAAACATAATGTTTTTACTCCTGTTCAGACTTACTGGCAGGAGAAAATAGCCCTCCAGCTCCACTGACAATAAAATAGCCCTTGATAACATTCACTTTATCTACACAGCTGGGTCCATCAGTGCACAGTCTGTGCTGCTAGTACAAAAGTACTGACTGTTGGGAAGAAGCTGCAACTTTATTTGTCATTGTACATATAGTACATGCACACACATTTTTAGAAATATTCAGAGTAAACAGGCCTTGGAGCATATTTATTATTGGCTGAAAAAGCAGTACAGCTACTAGCTAAAACATTTTCCAGACATTACATTACATTTGAGTAACTCTACAACCTTTTAGGGAGACTTGCTTCACCTGACATTTGGCTCTTCCTAGCCTCTCTTGGTGTCACCATGAAACATAATTTCTATTAATTTCTTTTATACATATGTCACTGTTCAGACACAAGGTCCAGGAAACGTTCATCAATAAGACTTGTAAAATCCCTTCAGTAAACTCTGTTTTAGAAGGAACAAGGAGAGACATAATAAAGACATAGACATAATCACAGGAGCGTTCTCACACAGAGGCAGGTGATAAAAGGCTCCAGCAGATGTACTCTCTCTGCCAGGCAGTCCCCTAATAGCATGGAATTATCTGACTGCAGCCAATAATAACCACTATCTGTTTCAAATACGAAAGTGTGCAGTTGAGACATCACAGCACGTCTCGATGTGAAGAGCTGTGTGTTTATTATTTTCATGATTTTATAGCCTCCATAATTATTATCTCTTTTTTTACACTCATTCTTTTTGTGACAGCTTAATGGCGGCGTGCAGGCAAAAAGGCCTAATGACTAACGACATACTTATACATTTCATTAATGTCAGAATTTAACTAACATGACATTTAGAGGTGTCAATCTCACAGAGGATGAAGTCATGATGGTCACAGTCCTGCTATGCCAACCGAGGGCCAAACACACAGTAGATTATATGATTCCCATGCAGAATACATAATGCTATCACTGACCTTTTGCAAGTGAGCTTTCTTTTCACGTGCACTGGGAGATGGGCTCCAGTTTGTCTTGTGAAAAACAAGTCCCATCTTTCTGACCTTGCCACCAAGGTGATGGAGCTAGATCCCTGCTTATCATTACGTTACACTGCTTTATTATTTTTGATTTTGCATTGTGAACTCAGTGCCTTATGACATTGCACTGATGGTGTGATAGGGAAATCGAGTGAGAGTTCCCGAGTGAGTGAGTGAAATTGACCACGCTTTACTATCACTGTATGTGGACAACGTATCGGAATGTGTGTCGAGTAAACAAGTAAAAAAAAAAAATCAAATGATGTACCTCAATAATACCCTTGTCAAATATAAAAAAATCTTACATGGATGTTGCAGATGCAAAAAATTAGGCTGTATTATCTTTGTGCTCCCTTTTGGGTGGCCTGCCCCCACTCCTGTCAAATTTGCCCCAACTGCCCTGGGTTTTGTACCTTAGATAGAGGAAATAAATCAATTGCAAAAAACAAAAATCTTCCCAAAACACTTTTTTATCTGCCCTGAAAGACATTTTACACGTTACTCACAACATTGTTTTTCAAAAAAGCAGCACAATAATAGTTTATTGTGAATCTAAGACACTGTGGACGTGGAGTGAATGAGAAAAGCATTTAAAGAGAGTAGAACAGAAGTGGGCTGCATGTTGACTGTTGCTGTGTTAAAAACTTTGTGGACACCGTGGACACCGTGGACACCGTGGACAGCTGAAGTCTGAGGTAGGAAACTGAAGCCGTTTGCTCGGTCGGGATATTTTACTGAGGGGGAAAAATTTGAAACTTGATGGGTGGGGCTTGGTGAGGGGAAAGAGAGGAATGGAGAGGGAAAACAGTGTGATGTGTGTGCAGTGAATTCAAAACTGGGTGG